TCTAGTGCACGTATTATAGAAGAGTAGCATGAATGAAACCTGGAAAGAGGTTGGTGCAAGGGTGTTTAATGCTTATTGATTGAGAGTATTTTTTTTCAATAAATGCACATTTTAAATGCCAGAAAATTCCCTCTCCACAAAATAAATTTTTGCCATTAAGTCAAGGTATATAGGCAACAGTGAAGATTCAATGGCTCCAGGAGCTAGCATCACACAAGTGCCATTTTCAAATCTTGCCTACAGGCATACAAATGCTTTACTTTCTAGCTCCACAGGAAAAAAAGTCAGAAGTTCAAGAAAGTCGTGTGACAAGGTAAAGAACCTATTCACAAGCAGCAGCAACACATTCTAGAAAGGGCTGAGGAATCTCCCAGATGGAGAAAGACTAATCAAAGTCTATCTCAGGTGGGAAGCCTGAGTATTTTTATCATAAATTTTATCAGGTTTTAGCAAGAGGAAAAGAAAAAAGAACTAGTGCCCCACAAATTGTTTCTTTTTATCCCAATCTTATTTCTTTTTAAAAACTGTATCACCATCTTGGCTGAAACAAAAAAGAACAGGAATTTTTCCACAGACCAGAGAAGGGAACAGTATGTGCTGAAGACATTGGAAAACAGTGGGAAAGCTAGAGCAAAACACCGAAGTTCAGGAGAGCAGTCAGGATCAGCTATTGTTGCTATCTGACTAGGCCTTTCTCACAAAATGGCTGGTTACAATGACACAAAATCCATGAAATAACCTTACCTATTTCACGTTTTCGTTCATTGGTTGTGCAATCATGGAAAAACTCTGTCATTAAACTTTCCAATGCCCGGAGGGAGGCTTCTTCAGATGCCTAATAAATGAAATTTGAAAAAAAAAATAACAAAATACATCTTTAGTTCCTTTAGGTCACATTCAACAGCAAATATAACATACTTCCTCTAAACAACTGGGTACAAGAAGTCAGTTTCAGTAGTTCCAACTGAGTCATAAGTTCACACACATACTACAAACTCAGGCTACTATGCAGTCAATGTTTGCACTAACAAAAGGGATGGCAGATCATAAAAAATAATAATAATCAGAGCACCTGAATGGGAAGGAATTCTGAAAACAGGTCAAAAGCAAAAAACCAATCCTAGACTTGAATAACCAAAGAGATTAAATTCAGGAAAACGGCCATAGGAATTTCCCAACCTACAATGCTAATCCAAAAAAGAATAATGATTTAAAGAAAACAGTTTCAAGAGAAAAAAATAAATCTCTTGTAAAGTTATTCCCTAACTTTTGGGGAGGGAAAGGGAAATAGGTTTTTTTAAAAAGCTACTTGATTTTAATTTTTTTTTTTAATCAGTAGCAGTTCTATAGCCAAAATGGATGCTTTATATACAGCTTCTGCTTATACTAAATGTTCTAGAGCTGAATTACCTTATACCAGAACAAATTCTGAGTAGTAAGTTTTAATCATATTAGCACCTTATGATTTGTTTTAGAAAATACATGGTTGAGGCAGCTAGGTGGTGCAGTGGATAGAACTCTGGTGCCATGAAGTCAGGAGGCCCTGAGTTCAAATCTGGCCTCAGACACATAACACTCACTAGCTGTGTGACCTTGGGCAAGTCACTTAACCCCATTGCCTAGGCCCCCCCCCCAAAAAAAAAGAATATAAAGAGGAAAAAAGGGCAGTTTGGCAAAATTAACCACCACACTAATCAGGTTTAGCAGAATATGCTATGTTCCAATTTCACAGTCCTGTACTTCTACAAATAAAAGGAGATACATGCCAAAAGATAATCATTTTTAAAGCTTTACATGTTTCATGTGGTGAAAGAGCATTATTCTCCAAAAGATGAAGACACACTTGTCACAGCCTCTTCAGGGTAAATTCAAGTGCAAAAGAAATGGACAGCTACCGACACAAAAAAATGTTACAATAAAAGGAGTCTGCATCTACGCAGAACTTGTGAAATCCTGGGCAGCTGTCATCCAGTTCTTGTTAGGTAAAGGGAAAACAACAAATGAAAACTAGTTCTTCACATAAAACCAAAACCAAGTGAAGTCACCAGGCCAAAGTAACAGAGACACAAAAACTGTATGTGTATACCTGCCCTCACTTACCCTGGTCTTTAATGGGGAAATTTTATTCTTTTCTCCTCTAAGAGGGAAGCCCTGAAATGGACAAGATAAAGCCTACCTTACCTAGTATTCCATTCTTCCCAGTAAGATGCTCCAATAAACTTCCAATAAATTATTTTAACTGTATTAAATACACATCACTGCATATATTATTATGCCAAGTGAAAAAAAGAATATAAATGAAAAAAAACCAAGCTGGTCCCCAGCCACTAGGAAACTACACTCTGACTCAAATATACATGTGGAGCCACACAGAGCCAGCAAAAGAGTAACAACTAATAATAATAATAACAGCTAGAACTTATACAGCACAGTAAAGTTTGCAAAGTACTTTACATGTGCTAACTTATTTGATTATAAAAAATAATGCAACTCAATGAGCAGTCTTTCCATCTTTACAACAATGCATTTTAGAGGTAAAAGTAATATTAACTACATAATCAGAGATCAAGAGAATTAGCTAGGAATTCCCAAAGAAGTCAGCTCTTTACTGACCGATCCAGGAAGATATCATGTAAGTAAAAAGAAGGGTATTCCAGGCATGAAACAATCTGCTGGAGAAAGTCAAAGAGGGAAGTGAGATGAGCAGACAAAGGTAAATAAGGCTGGGAATAAAGGAGAAAACCAAAGAAGTAACTCGGCCCAAAGCAGCCTGGGGAAGGCCTCAAAAAGGCACAAGGTAAAGATCTAATGAGCATTTTTGATGAGGCATAAAGCTACAAAGAATTGTTATCATCAAATCAGACAATTCTGCAACGATAAGTACAGGCTTACTAAGAGAAGCTATGCTAAAAACATCAGGAGTCCAAGAAGCAGCAGAATGTAATAACCCAGGCAAGAGCTTGCTAATGATGCCTGAGGAAAGAAGTGGCAAGAGAAATGTAGAGAAAGGCACTAAATGAGATCTTGGCAAATGATTCAACTTTCAATGTAAACACTATAAACTGGTGTTAAACCCCAACAGACATAACTGGCTGCCTCTTTTCCTTAACTACTGACGGCAGACACTCAAGTAGCATATATAGTACCAAATAAAAATCTAAAAACGTGCCACTTCCAATCTGGAAATTTCAGTGTTCTAAATCAAAAGCAAATGACTGAGAGAAATCCCCAAAAGAGCTAAATGTCTACAGACAAAATAAGAAGAAGCAGCAGCAGCACAGAAGTACTTTAAATCTACTAGTAGTCTATTCTTCTGATTCATGGGAAGAAAAATATAAGACAATATTAGGGCTGTCGATGACTACTACCTACTCTTCTGGAAAGGACCATAGGCCAGTAAGGGTGGAAACAGGTGGCAGACTCTACTAAGTCATATACTATTGCCCTTATTCACAAAAATAAAGACTACAACTCTTGGATCCAATCCCTCAAACACCAATAATAACCACAGAATTTTAAAGCTGGAATTGACAGTAAAGGCAAAGCAGTTAAAACCCCTTCCTTTTACACATGAGGAAACAAAAGCTCAATGTCATAAAACTAATCAGTGGCAGAGGAAAGACTACAACCAAAATCTCCTAATTTGAGTAAATAAGGATAGCTAGTAGTTTTGTTTTTTTTTAAGGGGCTTTTTATTCTGACTGTACAATGGTATTATTTTTAAGTATGAAAAATACTAACAAATAAATATTCTACTGTGACTTTTGTTCAGAGCTGGGGAAAGCTCATGACCTTTTGAGAGATGATTAGAAATCATACTCAGTACACTGAGCTACAAAAGAATTAAGACTGTTAACTGCGTTTATTTTATGCTTTTTTTAAACACAGATCAACCATGTGTTGCAAACTTAAACCATCATTCCATTGATACTAAGAATATATAAAAATGTCATTGACAGACAACAAAGAAATGGTTAAGTATGCACTAATGAGGAACTACTGAAGATTTGCTCACAAATTTCAATTCAACAAATAACTATTACGCACCATGTTAGGCACTAGGGCTACAAAACCAAAAGGGCACTTAGAAGTCATCTAGTACAACTCCCTCATCTTAGAGAAGAGGAAAAAGAGAGGCCCAGAGAGGTTAAGTAACATTTCCAAGGTCACACAAGAAGGAAGTTCCTGAGCTGAAATTCGAACCTCAATCCCCTGTACCCCCAGTGCTCTTTCTTTCCACTGTCCCACACTTAATGGCACCTGAGCAAAGAGTGCCTACCAGACATGAGACACCTATTCTTTTAAATAGATGCCTCTAAAGTTAATCTTCCATCAGCTATGTTCATAACCTTTTCTAGTGTCAAAAACTGAGGAGCTTGTCAGTTGCAGGCATTTCTGGATCACAGAATCACCAACTCCTAGGCCTCCAACAAGACCATCTAATTCAAACCCCTGAACGGATGAGGAAACTGAAGTTCAAAGACATGTAGAGATGTCCAGTCACAAAACTTGTAAGTAGTAGAAATGGGTTTTAACACCACCAGTACTTAGCCCCATGCTTATTTTACTTTGGCATACTAACTCACCAACCTAATTAAGTTTCGACCTCTTCTTTCAGCTAAATAAAGTAAACATATCAGTCTGATTCCTCTGTGTCTAGGCACAAAATATAAGTCTGTGAATTCGATGAGCAACTAAATAGTTGCTTAGCGTTCAATAAATCCAAGAACATGAAATACCCCAACAAAAACTCCATATTTTAAAGGAATTTATGAGGAAACTGGACAAGTTTGAAAGAAATTAGGATGTAACATCTTATGCTATATTCCAAAACAAGCCATAAATGGATGATATTAACATAAAAGGTCACAGCATAAAAAATGTTAAAGAAGAATTTAAGGAGGTACCTTTCAGATCTATAGTTGGGGAAAATCCTTAAACAAGTAATAGACGTGATCATAAAGACAAAATAGATATACATCTTATATTTATATTATATATTTAATTTATATATTAAATAAATGTATAGTATATACTTATATGTATAGATATATAGTATAGATATATATTACATAAAGTTTAAAACCTTTTGTGGAAACAAAATCAAAACAACTTGAAAAAGAGAAATTGTCAACTAAAAAAATCTTCACATCAGCTATTTCTGATAAAGGTCTGATATCCAAAATAAACAGGGAATTGATAACAAATACATAAAACTGGGTAATTCCCCAATAGCTAAGTGGTCAAAGAATATGAACAGCTTTCAAATAAAAAAATATAAACCATCAATAAGTATATGAAGACGATTCCAAACAACTAATATGAGAAATGCAAATAAAAATAAGTGCACTTTCATCTCCCACCACCCTTGAAAAGACAACAAAATCAGAAAAATCTTAATTGTTGGAGGGCTATAAGAAGGCAAAGCAATACATTGGTGATAGTATTGAATTGATCCAACAATTTTAGAAAAAAATTTTAACTATAAGTATTGTACAGAACTGTACATAGCCTTTGACCTAGCAATACCTCTACTAGTTCTGAACACCCCAAGGTGTTCAAAGAGGGAGGTCCTACATATAGAAAAATATTTATAACAGCACTTTTTGTGGTAGTAAAAACCTGGCAAAAGTAGCTATTCATCAACTGGAGAATGGCTAAACATCAATGTAATGAAATGACATAGTGCTGTAAGAAACAATAAATCATATGAAGATTTCAAAGTTCAAAAAATTTATATGAACTGAAGTCAAACAAAGTAAGTGGAAACAAAAGAATAATATACACAAAACCACAGTCAATCATAGACTTAATATTCTAGAAGGAACTCAGAGGCTATCTAAGTTCAAAATCCTCTTCCTACAGAAAAGGAAACAGTCCCAGAGAGGGAAACTAACTTGCCCAAGGTCTGGCAATACATGCCAGAGCTGGGATTTGAAACCAGGTGCTCTGAATTCAGCCCCAGTATTATTTCCATGGTACCATGCTCTGATGTAAAACAAAATAACAATGAAAGCAAAGCAACGACCAATCCTGATTCCAAAGGACTAAAAACGAAACCTGTCTCCCTCATCTAAGAAGCAGCGATGGATTCAAGTGCAAAATGAGATACAAGTTGTCAAACACAGCCAATGCATTGGTTCATTTTGCCCAACAATACTTCTTTGGGTTCAATGTCCGAAAAAGTATCAATAAAACATCTTTTAAAACTTTTTTTTAGGGCAGCTAGGTGGCGCAGTGGATAGAGCACCGGCCCTCAAGTCAGGACGACTGAGTTCAAATCCAGCCTCAGACCAAACACTTGACGCTTACTAGCTCTGTGACCCTGGGCAAGTAACCCCAACCGCCTAAAAAAAAAACAAACAAACCACTTTTTTTAATAAGTCAAGTGCTACGATGAATAAGGAAATAGTGGACCCTCAGTTTGGTATGGTGCTCAGTGGTATGGTATGGTAACTCTAGGGAGTTACACGAAGTAATCAATAAGATTTAGTAAGCACCTTATAAAAATGCCAAACTGGGGATACAACGACAAAAACAAACAGCCCCTGCTCTCAAGGAGTTAATATCAAAAAAAGCTGCCAAATTCCCAAGACGTTGATTTCTAAACCAGAATATCACTTTTTTTTTCATTTGTGAGGATATAACTAGTTTAAGAACCAGGACTGATCATTTACAAAACGCATTTACTTCCTAGGGAGTAAATCCACCCAGGAAACTAAATTATAAAGTTACTTTCACAGTAGCAAAGTAATGGAGATAGATATTCTTAAGGGATCTCAACTTCAATCAAGCTGAGGTAATGTAAATGAGAGATAAATATAATGACAAAGAGAAGAATGTTGGACTTGGATTCACAAAAACCTGAGTTTGAATCCCACCTAAGACACACTTAGCTGTGTAACCTGGGGCAAGTCACCCAACCTCTCGAAGGTTCAGTTTCTTCCTCTGTAAAATGTAAACAACATTCACACTCAGTGGGTTGTTAGGGGGAAATACTCTACAAACATTCAAGTGCTGTGAAAATGATTACTGACCTTTATTCTAGGGCTATTTCTGTGAAAAGAATGAAGATCAAATCAGCTAGAATAGTATACCCTGTTCCTCAGACACTGACAGAGAAACAAATTTGTTTACTCTGAACCTCTCCTTTTTTCTAGGGTTCATTAAGGAACCCTTCTGATTCATTACTATAGTACTCTCTAAGCTGTTCGTCTAATGTGCATAAATGACAAGCTGAGTGCTTTTCATAATAGGTATCATAATAGATACACAGATTATTTTTCATGATTATATTTCATGTTATGACTTCCAGATGATCTACAGGGAAGCACCTTAATCTGAAGCTGTAAATCATACTGACAGGTTACTACTAGGAAGGTTTCCTATAGACAGCTAGCTCCTAATCACAAATTATGGTATTTTCTTTCTGATCTAAGTATATTATGCTTTTCTCTGTCTTGCCCTTAGACCTTGAAATCCTATCTTACCTAAGGAGTAGGTAGCTTTCAATTTACCTACACTGAACTCCCAAATGTTTAATTGGAAATGACTATAAATATTATACAATTCATCAATTTTTAAAGAATATGGGGGGTAGTTAGGTGGCACTGTGGATAGAGCACCAGCCCTGGAGTCAGGAGGACCTGAGTTCAAATGCGGCCTCAGATACATGATACTCACTAGCTGTATGACCTTGGGCAAGTCACTTAACTCCATTGCCTCGCCCCCCCCCAAAAAAAAGAATAAAGAATATGAAAAATATTCTTAAATCTAAAAATATAATGAATGCAAGTAAATTTTTCTTTGATTCAAACGGCATTTCAAGACCTGCATACCACCAAGGAAATCACCATGTAGCTCAATTATTGTATAATATTGTAAACGTAGAAGGTTTGGCTAAACCTGCAGTATAATTCACCTTAATGTACTGCTTTTGTTTTGTTTTTGTTTTTTTTGGGTGGGAGCAGTTGGAGCAAAATAAATTGCTAGTATCAGCTCTTCTTTCTCATGAAAAGAGAATACAAGACACATAGATGGAAAACCTCATTGGCTAAAATATGGCATAAAATCTTCAGTTCTGTTGTCCCCACTAACATTTCTTTTATTATTACTGTCATTTGAATTTTCAGCATTGAAAACATTCTCTATTACTTTTGTATCAGGAAAGAACACTGACTGGACATCAGTTGAAAAATATGAGTTCTAGTCTAGGCTGGCCACTACTTTAGCTATCCAACTATTTCAACTAATAAGCAAATAATTTTATATCTCTGTTGATTATGGTATCTTGTCTGTAAAATAGGGGGATTGAACTAGATGATCTAGCTTTATTGTTCCATAGAATATGTTTTACACTTTTCTGCATCACTCACCAAAATTACCAACAGAATAAATCAGCTGCTATAAATAGCAATATCCAAACCATCATGCAAGCAGCAAGAAGAGCATTAAGCAATTTCAGCCCTAGTTTTGCGTTAGTAACAAAGGACCATACACAGCAATGATCAGTAGAAGCTATTCAAAAAAAGAAATTTCTTGATAACATAAAACTTTTCATTCATAATGTTTTATGCACTATTAATATGCAATCCATTTTTGCACAAACTTCAGTTTAACCAAGTCCTTCAGGGGAGCATGGGCATTTACCATATTACCAAAAACCAAACAGCAGTAATATTTATTTTGAGAAAAAGTGCAGAAAATAAGACTACAAAGTGACCCAATACACTAGTAAATTATATTTTCTTCACCTAAGTTTGCAAATCAAGACAAGATATACTAACTCTAGAGAATTTAAGAGATATAATCTAATACAACTGAAACAAATTAAAAACTGATCAGTCTATCTTCAACCTTATAAAGTCTTATGTATGATAGACAAAACTTTAGAAAAAATGTAGAGTGCCCCAAAAGTCTTAGTGCAGTTTTAAGTTTTGAAATACTCTGTATTAAAGAAAGGTTCAAGCACTCTTGCCAATTTTTAAATTTTAAAACTGTTCTTGGTTTTAATAAGATACATAATAAAAGGGAAGGTCTTTGAAAGAAACACATATTGAAGCCTTGTCATTTCACAAAAAAGATGGGGAGGGGAGGAATTAGAAAAATACATCCACAGACTCCCCAGAAAGGATCCACTTGTTTTCTTGCCTTCCATGAGTAGGTTTCGCTGTCTCACGGGTCCTGAGAGGGGAATGGAAGGAAGGCACTGAGCAGAGACCACTGACCAGGGACTGAAACAGGCACATGGATTCTAAAGCACTGGGCACCCTCCATTTCCAGCAACCTCTCTTTAGTGTCAGTGACGTAAGCAAAAGACTGTTAGAAGGCTAGCATGCTCTATTAGTCTCGGCATCACTGCAAACTCCTCCTGTGTATCAAAGGTTTCAGTTTTAAGAACAAACCCCTTGACTTTTGGGGCAAATCAGGATCAAGATGGCAAGTGTTTCACATTTATATAATTATGCAAAAGGTAGTCGCCCCTCCAATCCCTTACATTAGAACAAAACCCCCAAACGTAGGTGGATGGAGAGCTCAGGCAATAGAGTAGAAGATTCAGGGTCAAGTTTCCAGGGATGCAGCATTGAACATCTGTCTACTCAAAACCACTTATGCATTTATCCAAATAGACTGCAACCTCTCTGAAGGCAGCCAGAAACCCTATTTCAATGTAGTAGAAGCTCAATACATGTCTGCAAATGCTAATGATCAAATGGTTTGGGTCTGTCACTGCTTATGACCCAAAGATTATAGCGATTCCTTTCCCCTACCAAACATAGATACGAAGATCACCATCCTCCCAGCTACATTTTACACGGCTTAGAGAAAAGGCTCTGCGTTATGCTGCTCTTCTGCACGCATGTGTGTCACCAGGCATGCTCTGCACACACCACTCCCCTTCCCCTGTTGTGTCACCGAAGACTGATGGTTCAGCACACTAGGGTTCCCTCCCCCACCCCCATTCAGTGGATAGATGCTGCACAACTTACCATGTTGGCCAGGAGGCCTTTCAGGTGATTTGACTCTTGAGCTTCAGGGTCCCCCTCTCACAGTTCATGTCATGGTCCAAGGCAGGTTCGGGAATTCCCCCACCCATCCAAATTAAATTAGATACTATTCCCCCCCAACCAATTCCTCAAAACATACCCCAGGCCCTCTAAAATACGGACGCCCTCCTCAATCCCACATCCTGGTACATCAGGAGAGCACTGGAGCCCCCCGAAAAATTCATCAAAACCCACACGCCCCCCGCCCCCAAAGTTAGACTGAAAAAACACCGGGAAGCATCAATCCCGGGGGCTGGCGGGGCCCCCACCCTGGCAAAAGCCGAGGGCTGCGGCCCGGTGGGGGCGGGGGGTTCCCCGGGCCAGAAGCGGCCCTCGATTCTGCCCCTGCCGCTCCCTAGCTGGCCTGGCCTTGGCCGGCGCAGGGCCCTGCCTGCCGAGCTCCTCCCCGCCGAGGGCCGGTCCGCGCCGGCTGGCTGCGGGCAGCAGGCGCGCTCTCCCTTCCCGAAGCGGCGGAGGCGGCCGGCCGAGGCCTCGGGGCCCGCGGGCCTACGAGCCGAGCGGCCCGTGGAGGATCAAGTCCCGGTCTCAAGGGAGGAGGGGGCAGGCCCGAACGCAGTCCCCACAGGATGCGGAGCTGGGGAGGAGAGCTCTGTGGCCGTGGCGTTCAGCTAGCTGCCCAGCTAAGGGAGACGCCACCGCGGCGACCGCCGAGCTGTCCGGGGTTCCGGCGCCGGTACCGTCCCCAAGCGCATCCCTCTCGCTCTTTCCCCCGGAGCCGTTCACTATGCCTTCTACCCCAACCGCCCCTCCCCACCGGAAGTGGCGATAGCCCGTTGCCGACCCCACAACCAGGCAGGCTAGAGGTGCTGGAACCGGACCAATCCAGAATCAAGATTGCAGGCGGGTGGGGGGGGGAAACCAGTGCGGGGCGGGGGAGGGGCGGGACTATAAATGTCATGTGAGTGCTCTGGAAGGACTCCGCCTGCCCAACCTCCATCTTGGTAGAGGGCGGATGCAACCTGCCATCTTTGTAAAGTGATGTCTTCCCTTTCGTTTTAGACACCCAACGGCCACTTCCTTAATCGGTTCCAGAAAACAATCGAGTTGACTAAATAGAAAAGAAAATATATTTGAAAAACAAGAAGAGAAAAAAATTAGCAATAGTTAGAGTTTGAGCAATTGATTAGCGGCTGTGGAAGGAAATGAATCTGTAGTCGGAAGCCTTGTTCAATGATGACTGCCACTAACAATCTGTGTGACCAGGAGTAGGTCACTTCTTCTCTCGGGGCGCCAGCAGTTTCATCATAATCATGAACCACAGCCACAATAACAACATCAACAGTAGTCATTATGAAGCACCTGGGCGTAGAACACTGTGCTACGGGGTGACGTTAATAAAGATTGAGTAAGGTGCTCTCCACTGTCGTGGTGTTGAGCTGACACTCTAATAGAAGAAAATCCAATATGCACACAAGTAACTGCAAAACAAAAATGGAACATAGGTGCATGACAACTACAATGCAAAATCGTCAATCAGTAAAATTAAAGGGTTTCTAAAATCTCTTCCAGGTCTAAAACCCTGTAAATCCATGAACCAGTCAGCAATGGACAGGATGCGTGTAGAAGGGGTGGGCATAAGTAAATGGAAAGTCTTGAGAGCTGCAACATGAAACATTGAAGTATTGATATGTATAAACCAGTTTGCTGTATTTTACTAAGGGAATTCTACCGAAATCAAATAACCTAATGGACTACATAATCCTATTACACGGTAGAATATATTTATGAATGGAATTAAAAATAAAAGCTACAATTACTTCATCAAAGAAAGAGATCAAAGACAGAAACAAAGGTCCAACGTTTGCCGAAAAATGCAGGAGCAGAACTCTTTGTGGTAGCAAAAAAAAATAAATAAATAAAAATAATAATTTTTTAAAATAAAAAACAGGTGCCCATCAATTGGGAAACAGCTGAAAAAACTATGATATATACATGTAATATGCATTGGATCCAATGTAACTGCATTATTGTGCAGGAAGAAATAATAAATATGAGGAATTCAGAGTAAAATGGGAAGATTTTTATGAATAGGGGGAAAATGAAATAAGTAGAATCAAAAGAAAAATTATACAATAACCAGAAAAGGAGCCCAAATTCTGAATCACTGAAAAACATCAATTGTCGCTGTATATACAATCCTATACACAAACATATGTGTATACATAAAATATCAAAAAAGGCTTTATGGAAGTGGAGGTATTTTAATAATATCTCAAAGGATGGGTAGGATTTCAACAGGTAGAGAAGGTAGCAGGTAGCAAGCATCGGTTACAAAGGCACAGAAGGAGAAAAGCACAAACCTTATATAAGGAATGGCAAGTAACCATGTTTGACTGAGACAGAGAATACCTTGGTTACAAGAGAAGACTGAAAAAGTAGTGTGGTAATAGACTGTGAAAGTCCTTTAATGCCAGACTAAGGAGTTTAGACTTTATCCAGTTAGAAGTGGGGAGAAATGGAAGGCTTTTGATCAGAAGAATGGTATGATCAAGGAAGTGCTGTAGGAAGATTAATCTGGCAAAAGTATAAAATACGATTTGAAAGAAGAGATTAGAAAGAAACAGACCAGTTAGAAGGTTATTACAATAGTTCATGCAGATAGCAATGAGTGCCTGTTGTATGGTGACAATAGTAAGATTAGACATAGTAAGATAATTAGACAATAGTAATATTAGAATTGCAAGAACAGATAAATGTGAGATATATTATGGAAGCAGAACCAACTCAACTTGGGGTGAGAGAAAGAGAAAATCAAAAATCATGCCAAGGCATAATTGTGCCAATGCACCTGAATAACAGTTGCCTTTGAGAAAAATAGAATGAAAAAAAGAGGAAGAATAGGCTTAAGGGTTCTCTTCTCTTCTTACTCTATTTCACTTGATGATCTCATCATTTTCAGTAGATTCAAATATCTCTATGCAGATAATAATCATTGTAGTAACAATAGCTAACATTTATATAGCACTCACTATGTGCCAGACACTGTGCTAAGTGCTTTGCAATTACTATCTCATTTGATCCTTACAACCCTGAGAGGTACAGTACCATTATTATTCCCATTTTACAGAAGTGGAAAGTGAGACAGACAGTTTAAATGACTTTCCCAGGGTCACACAGCTGGTAAATGTCTGAGGCTAGAGTTGAACTCAGAGCAGATAATTCCCAGATCTTTATATCCAGTCCCGATTTCTTTCCTGACCTCCAATCTCACATCACCAACTGTCTATTACACATCATGAACTAGAATTCCCATAGACATTTCACATTTAACATGTTCAAAACAGAACTCATTATCTTTTCCCCAAACCCTCTACTCTTCCGACCTTCCCCATTACTGTCAGGGGAGCCCTAGGGTCATCCTCTCCTGTATTCACCCCACATCCCTAATCTATTTCTAAATCCTGTACTTTCTACCTTCACAACATCTCTTGTATATATTCTCTTCTCTCCACTTATATACAACCATCACTTGTGTACAGGCTCTCATCATCACAAGCCTGGACTACTATACTAATCTGGTTGATCTCCCTGCCTTGAGTCTCCCCACTCCCGTCCATCCCCCATTCAAGTGCACATTCCTGATGCCCTACTTTCCCTCCATCTCACCCCATAGACTCCAATAGATCCCTGTTACTTCCAAATAAAAAACAAAATCCTCTAATCCTTTTATATCTTTCTCATCTTTTATATTTTACTCCCTTCCACTTACTCTATGATCCTAGGACACTGGTCTTCTTACTGTTCCTCAAATAGAACACTCCATCTCCTAACCCTATATCTGTCCCCCATGCCTGGAATTCTCTTCTTCTTTCCTTCAGCTCACTGGCTTCCCTGACTTTCTGAAGGCAACCTTTCACAGGTTCCCTCCCACTCAACATTGCTAGTATCTTCCCTCCCAGATTACCTTCCATTTACTCTGTCATAAATTCAGCACTATAGTAAATTCTGTAAATGTTGTACATTGATAGTTATTTGTATGTTGTCTCCCCTGATAAGAATGTGAGTTCCTTGAGATCAAGAACAGTATGTAACTCCAGCTCTTAACAAAATGTCTAGCATGGAGTAAACACTTATATTAATCAATGCTTGGTGATTGAAGGAGGGGAAAGAAGTTGAATATTCTTTGACCATTTGTCCAATTGGGATAGAGTCTTAGTCTTGAATATTTGTGTTGGTTGATTCAATTTAACAAGTTTTTTAAGTATCTACTACATGTAAGGTTCTTAAGATACAAAAACTCAACAACCTTTACCCTCAAGGGACTACTTGAGGCATAAAACACTTTGAGTCTGAGGGGATAGCCGTATAAACAAGTATAAGCATTCATAAGGCAGCTGGGAATGCTGAGCTAGAGCTCAGAAGAGGGGTCAGGGTTTGAGGTACAGAATTGGAGACTAGTCTGCTGACCCAGAATAAGTAAGGTTGAACCTATGAAGCCTACTACTCCCTAGCCCTATGAGGAAAGAGATAGGTGACCAACAAATGCTTCCCATTTTCAGCCTGCCCAGAGAGCATGCTTTGTAAACAAAACAAAACAAAACAAAAGATAAAGATGACCATCCCTTTTCTTCATAATCAAGTGGAACTTAATGCAGGCAAATGGCCCTAAGGCATGGCCTGACTTAGGCTTGACTCATTTACCCATGAATCAATGTAAGTGAGAGGGAATTTCATATTTAGTATCCATGAAATCTCCAAACACCATATGCCCTCCTTTTGTGCAAGGAAAGATCAAAACAGATGGGCATGTTTTTTTTTTCTCTGAAGTCCTGCAGAAATAAGGAAGTAAGTTAATTTCTTCACAAGCTAAGATGCCACTGCAAAAGCTGTATGAAAGATGCAGGATAATTTGATGTTGTGGGGAGAATAGAAAGGACATTGAATTTGGAGTCAGTCAAAGGACCTGTGTTCTATTCCCAGTTCCACCCCCACTTCCCACATCACACTATGTGATCTTGGGCAATTCTCATTACTCTTCCAAGCTTCATTTTCCTCATCATATTGTATACAAGTACACAATAATACTTGTACTTCTTGCTTCAC